AGTCTACATTGGAGGTGGTGTGATTACAATTCTAAACCCATATAAATCAGTAAAATCAGAGAGCTTTTCGAAGTACTAATTTAGAAGAACTTTTAGACAGAACATTAAATGATGAACTAACTGAACTAGAGTAGAGTAACCATTTAGCAAAGGGGATGCTAACACTAATTATCCAAGGTTAAATGTAGCTATATTCTCTGAGGAAGAAAAGTTATCTCTGTGTAGCTTGATAACAGTTCCTCGGCAGTTCTAGTGGTATTACATGGAGTGTATGCTTCACATATCACACAGTCCTGTTCTTTTTGCATTAATGGCACCACAACATATGTCAGAAGTGTAACATTTCACATCACTTCTTACTTCTCTCAGAGATGCTGTTGATAGAGGCAAATAGGATCTGTCAACCTAAGAGTGTGTGACATTTGATAGATGCTTACCGAGGCTTAATTGGATCACCACAGCCACTAGCTAACCACTCCCTATAGCACTGCCTAGTAGTTAACCTCCTTTTGACATGACATTGTTCTCAATAAATCACATCTTATTACTGTCTGTTGCTGCTTACGCCTCAAAACAATGTCTGAGCTTGCTAAAGCTTTTTTACTTTAACTGGATTTAGATCCAACAAGTCCAGGTGGTTGTCTTTCTGATCTGCTTAGGATTCACAAGCCCTAGATTAGTGTCGAAGAAGATTCGTGTTTAGTCTACATTTGCAAGGAAGAAGAATTTTATTTAATTTTATTATTTAATTTTTTTATTTTATCTTAAGGAGGTCCAAATCTGCAGAAATTCTATTCCCTTATTTATTTCCTATTATTACATGTATTCGTTTGATTGTTTGTTTTGGTCCTCCATATGTTTTGACCTCATAAATAAATAAATAAAAAGTTTATTGCAACATTATTTTGCACAATTGTGACTGTTTCTCATTATTGTGACTTTATATCACACAATGTTTTTTGTGTTTTTTTTATTATTTTACTCTGCGGAAGAAACAAGTTTCACATACTGTGGTCAAAATGTTTTAATTGGAACATCAAACTTTTTATTATGGGCATGTAATAAAACTTTGTAATTATGTGTAATCATATGTAACTTTTGAAAAATATGCAGTTTCATTTTGAATGTCACTGTCAGCCGAATGAAAAAACATATATCAAAATACAGTATATTTAAAATATATTTGTTTCATACTAAGTATACTACAAATAAATTATCATATTTACTGACATATCATTTGAGACTAGCCCTATATTTCAGGGCATGCACAGTTTGAGACATTTGGAGGTCCTACATTTGTGTTTATAAGGTCCTCCCTGTGCCACTGGCCCTATAAAAGCACATGAAACAAATGAAGAGTTCAGATGCAAAAGCCTCTAAATGCCATTTGAAATTTTCTTCTTTAATGATGATTTTTATCAAACGCCTTGTATACGCTTGTATATTTAAGTTCAGTAATTTCACTTAAATGGCAATGATAATTACCTATTAATTTTTATTTAAGTGAAATTACTGGACTTAAATATACAAGTTTGATAAAAATCATCATTAAAGAAGAAAATTTCAAATGGCATTTAGAGGCTTTTGCATCTGAACTCTTCAAATATGATTTATAATTTAACTTATACAATATTTGGTATATATTTTGGAAAATACCAAATAAATATACTGATGAATTTGAAATACATTTATTTTATGCTAAGTTTAATACATTTACATATTTGTGTACATAAATTCCATTGTACCGTTGGTATACTAAACTGAGATACTTAAAGTCTGCTCAATTGGAACAACTTTAGTTATCCAGAAATAATGCTAAGGTCCAACTAAACACATATTTAAGTATATTTGATTGTGCTAAAGTGGGATTATTAGTCTTTAAAAATCTTGCATTTAAAGACTAATAGTGATAGACTTACTAATATTGATATTAGTACTAATTTTTATTCTTAAAATTAAGAAATGTGCATTGTACAATAAAGAAGTACTCCAAATAAAGTCTAACTAAATATTTATAATATTCCCTCAAATCTGATTGGTTAACTGGAATGTTGTTCCAAGATCAAAAAAAAAAAGATGCACTTGGTAAAAACAGGTTCTGTGAAATGCCATGCATCACTTTGTGTTTGTGTTGATGTAACAACCCATTAGGTGGGTGCAGACCTGACTCTGGAGATAAGTTCTATCAGGGGCCCTAATCACGGGGAAGTGTTTAATTGAGGATCCTCAGCTGGCTGAGCAGCCAGTCTGCTTTTATCTCCTGTTCGTGAAAGGCTCATAACTCAAACTCCTCTCTGTGCTTCATTCACCTCTCTGCAGGAGGTGTGCTTGTATTTTAAAGCTGCAGAAACCTGAATGTTTATATAATCAATGACAGAAATGCTCAGATTTTGTGATATACTGTAGGTGGCTGCTCATGGTTTTGTGTTTGCATTTTTGTAGACTGAAAAACAGGGTGCTAATGATTCTAATCTATGGGCTATTGCCAAATTCAAAATAAAACAAAAAATATGCAAAGAATATGAATTAGGGGTCCAGTATGTAGGCAACTGCCTGTATTCAACATAAACTATACTTTCTTGTATTAAATGTTTCGGTGAGGGGAATCCTCATTTTTATTACCATTTTTGAAAAAGTAAATGAAGAGTTCAGATGCAAAAGCCTCATTTGAAATTTTCTTCTAGAATAATCATTTTTATCAAGCTTGTATATATAAGTTCAGTAATTTCACTTAAATGACAATTCATAGGTAATCTTCATTGCCATTTAAAAGAAATTACTGAACTTAAATATACAAGCTTGATAAAAATTATCATTCTAGAAGAGAATTTCAAATGGCACTTAGAGGCTTTTGCATCTGAACTCTTCAAATGTACTTTTTAAGTATTATTATTACTCTTTTTAAAGAAACATTTTTTTTTATTACTTTTTTGCAATTCACAGGCTGAATCCCCTGGCACAAAAAAAAAAAAACCAAAAAAAAACAACAATATGTCAGCACAAAATGTTTGCTGGGAGTTTATTTCCTGTATGCCCTACCAGCATATAGGGGTTGCTATAAATCCGCTTTAGCCAAAGTTGAGAGTGTTTGTGTGAACCCTCTTTTAGTGGATTAATGTTCTTTCTCTGTAATGGAAACTGAGGCAGCTATGTTGTCAGTTTAGTGAGTTTGGATTTGTTTTGCAGTACAAATGTGGTAATGGTGCAGTCAGTGGACAAAAGACTTCAAAAAGTTCAGATTCAATAAATAATACATGGTTTTCAAACTGAATTGCTTACTCTATCTTTTTCATTATGGCTAGCTACTGTAGTGTGTTCTTTTCTGCTGAGGAAGCTTTTCATTAAAGATTTCAATTTGACTTCGAAAATAAATAGTAAATCCTCATAATAGTCATCATAATAAATCCTCATATTGCTGGAAAGGTAAGTTTGTAAGTTGTAAGTCCCATTAAGAATATGTTCATTATAGATTTTTTTTTGTTTGTTTGTTTTTTTTTTTTTTTTTTTTTTTTTTGTGGCCAACACTATTTTTTGTCACCATACGCAGGATTATACTGCCTCCTGCAGGAAATAGTTAATCATTAAAAGTGATTTATCCTAGTTATTTTAGCGCCCTCCATGTGATTCTATTCTATGTTTATTTATCATCCCTGTCTCCCCAAATCCTTAAAAAAAATTACTTCATTACAAAACAAAAAAAGTTAATCTTTCCTATTTCTGATAACACTTGTATGTACTAATACCTGATTTAATAATGACTTTACTATGACTAATGATGAGTTAAGACATGTAGCCTACTAAAAGGGCACAATGTAAAATTGTTCATTATTTGACGCAGCACAACTGTCACAAACTTCAGTGAATGACACTGTCTTGCAATGTTTATTTCCTTATTACATAAGTACCATTTTCTCTATGTGTATCAACTAACATTTAAAAACTAGACATATTACAGATGTTTCTTAGTTGTCATCTTATCTTTCTTTCTATTATCCCTGTATTTCCATTCTTAGAATCCTCTTTGTTTTCATTATCAATTATTGCTAAAGTCCTCTAAATTGTAACACACACACACACACACACACACACACACATATATATATATATATATATATATATATATATATAAAGGTAGGCCTACAAATACAAAAAAAAAAAAATAAAAAAAAAACAAAAAAACAAATAGGTTATTTAGGCTACAAGCTCTGAGACGTTTTGTTTTCCTTTCATAATGCTGAGTAGCCAAAGATAGCTGATTGCTCATAGATAGCTGCTGAACTATGTATGGAAACCCATTTCCACCACATAAGAAAAAAGTCCTGGTTAGTCGTTGAGATAAAGTCTAAAAATAAGATAAAAAGTTGAAATTAGGACATAGTAATTATTATGAGACAAAGTCAAAATTGGCCTATATTATAAAACAATAATTCTGACAAAATTCGATTTCTTGACTTTTTATCTTATAACTTAGTAGGCTATATCACGACATTTTTCTCATAATTAGCCTAACATGTCATAAAAAGTTATATTAATGACATAAAAATCAATATTATATCATATCAGAAGTAGCTGCTTTCGTTTTAATGTGGCGTAAATGGTCTCAAAAAATCCAGCCATTGGTCAGACGCTGAAATAGCAGAAACAAAACCTCGTAGTGGCTTTTGACAGCTCCCTCGTGATTCCCTCGCTAGACAAAATCAAAACAAGTGAACTTGAACTTTCTAATCACGTGTCCCGGGGGAAGCTCAAGCCGCTGAATGGCGGGGGGCTAGTAGTGCTGCCTGCGAGTGTAGGCCTACTCATAAACCAGCACAGCCAAATGAAATCAATTAAATATCAATTAATACATGTTTTAATTATGTAATTATATTAAAAATGAAATAAAACGTCTGTTAACATTTCTTTAAAAAATTAAAGATGCATAACATTATCCGTGTCCCTCTAACATTATGGTACATTCCACCCTGAAGCTCATTTTCTCGCACTTCCTCCTTCCGCAGTTGAATGATTGAACCTGTGGAAAACTTGGCGGACAGACAATGACGCTAACATCGGTTGCTAATACTTTCATTATATCTTTATTTATTTTCTCACAGTTTGTTCATGGGGTAAGAATGAATGCGATTGCTGCACCAGAGTGATATATACTTCATTCTAAAGTTTATTAGGCTGTTTTGAGAGCTGTTTTCAACTGCTGGTGTCATGCTTTTCTCAATTCTCTTATTTTCAGCTGGAGGATTGCAGAAGTGGAATGTTTCCACCTAAAGGACCAACGTACTGCTGTTACTCTTTCATATGTCCAATTATTTGTACTCCTACATTTCATATAACGTTTCTTCTTTGAGGTCTTGTCTGTTTAACTTCTCTGATTTGATGTTATGTTCAACTTCTCTTGTCATTTATCTAGGTTTAAAGGTAATGTGAGCTGGTACACTGTAAATCTCGATTTACCCCCTAGTGAGAGATGGACGCAAGTGATCAAAGATAAAAACACAGAGGTAACCTCTCCTTATAATGCATTAACGTTGCCTTTTAAGGCTCGGACCTTTGTTTCTGTCAGTATTGTACATGTTTTTAATGCTGATTCTCTGCTGTCTCGTGTCTGGAGTATGCAACTGTCTTGTGTGTCCTGTCTTGTTAAACAAGAGGATTGTGATTGTATTTACATCATTAACAACATTAAATCCTGTTGATTTTCAGTTGTTCACAATGGTACAGACAATAAAAGACATCGCCAAGGGATTTTTCCATGGAAAACTTATTGATTTAGTGGACGAGGAGCTGGTAAGCAATTAAATGTATGAACAAACTCCGACATCTATAAAAACTCTTTGGATACTTTGTGTGTGTGTGTGTGTGTGTGTGTGTGTGTGTGTGTGTGTGTGTGTGTGTGTGTGTGTGTATATATATATATATTTATATATATATATATATATATATATATATTCACCGGATTATTAGGAACACCATACTAATACTACTGTGTTTGACCTGCCTTAATTCTATGTGGCATTGATCCAACAAGGTGCTGAAAGTATTCTTTAGAAATGTTGGCCCATATTGATAGGATAGCATGTTGCAGTTGATGGAGATGCACATCCAGGGCACGAAGCTCCCGTTAAACCACATCCCAAAGATGCTAATCTGGTTGAGATCTGGTGACTGTGGGGGCCATTTTAGCACCGTGAACTCATTGTCATGTTCAAGAAACCAAATTGAAATGATTCAAGCTTTGTGACATGGTGCGTTATCCTGCTGGAAGTAGCTATCAGAGGATGGGTACATGTTGGCCTTGGCCATAAAGGGATGGACATGGTCAGAAACAATGCTCAAGTAGGCCGTGGCATTTAAACGATGCCCAATTGGCACTTTGGGGCCTAAAGTGTACCAAGAAAACATCATCAATTTTGGGTCAACTAACCCTTTAATATTTTTTGTTTATTTAACTTGAGATACTTTTTTTCAGGATTCTTTAACGAATAAAAAGCTAAAAAGAACAGCAACAGCATTGTTAGAAATGTTTTTATTTTGAATAAAATAAATGCTGTTAATGTTTTATTCATCAATGAATCCTGAAAGTATCACAGGTTCCAAAAAAATATTAAACAGCACAATTGTTTCCAACATTAATAACAAATGGAAACACAATTGTTTCCAACATGAGTATCAAATCGGCATATTAGAATGCTATCTGAAGGATCATGTGACACTGAAGACTGGAGTATGCTGATGAAAATTCAGCTTTGATCAAATAACTGCAGGCTTGATGACCATATTAGACCACTTTCAAAAACCTTAAAAATGGTAATGTTTCCAAACTTTTGACTGGTATTGTAGTTTGATATTTTGTTATTTTATATATTTCTCACTGTTTCGTAGCCATTGATTGTGGACACACTTCCACACCCTTTCAATGAAGAAATTAAGGGAATAGCAGCTGTTTCTGGCATCCCTCTGGGTGAGATTTTTCTCTTTTGATACGTTTTTTTTTTCTTTCTTTTTTTAAAATGTGTTCATAATGGTTGGATCTAGACAATATGCAAGCAATAAGGTACCAGAGGCTGTGCTGTATCGTGAATAATTAACGGCTAAACGGCGTTGTTCGGCACGAAGCGGAGTAACCCCTTATTCACGGTACAGCACTTGCCTCAAGTACCTTATTGCGTTTATAAAATGGTTACCACACAATAAAAGTATTAAAGTAAAAAAAAAAAAATGTATTAGTGCAATTTTCAGTAAAATCACAAAGCCTTCCTTCCGCTAGAAAAAAAAATAGTCCAACATTTCAATGTGAAATATATGCTTGAAAGCTCAAATAAAAACAACATACAGTTGGAACTGCAGTGTTGCGCAGTGATGAATATTGTCGTTGAGTGAAGCGGTCATAGCTGTTTTATCGTGAATAAAGCACAGCTAGTGATCAGAATCAAGGATTGTAACTAACCATTTTATAATAAACAAAATAAAATAAAAGAACACCCAAACAACAATGGTACAATCCATCAAAACAAAGGCGCTCACTAATTTAGCTAATAATAGAGCCCCAACTTGAATCTATGATTTAATTTAAATTTTATATTTATACCCCTCTAGGTGAGATTACGCTGTTCAATATCTTTTATGAGGTTTTCACCGTTTGCACATCCCTTGTTGCAGAAGACCTTAATGGTGAGAAGATATAAATAAGTTCACACATTGTTTTTGATCAAATTAAATGACACATTTAGGTGTTTTATTGTGTATTTTTTATCTTTTTGTTCAGGAAATATTTATCATGCCCGGAATTTGGACTTTGGACTATTTATGGGGTAGGATGTGTTTATTTGCCCGATATTTGAGAACACTTTGAATTTTCTGCAGCATACATACTCTTCAAATAATGTCCTAAGAATATTGTGTTTCTCATGAAGGTGGGATAGACGGAATAAAACATGGACTTTAACCGAGAAGCTTAAACCTCTTGTGGTGAATGTCAATTTCGAAAGGAATAACAAAACCGTGTTTAAATCAACAAATTTTGCTGGATATGTTGGCATTCTCACTGGAATTAGACCTGTAAGTGAGTTGGCATAAAAAAATATGATGGTTGTGTTTATTTAAATGTAAAGCAAGTAACATTTTTACTTGTTTAGGGTGAACTGACCCTAACAATGAACGAGCGTTTCAACTTTGATGGGGGTTATATTGGTAAGATTTTATTAAAATGATCTAAAGTGTCAAGTGTATAAACAGTTCTGCTTGAATGTTAAAATTTTGTAAACAACTAACTACAGTATGCACAACAGTATTCATTTCTTAAGATTAGCTACAAATCATGGGTGCTAGATGTTCTTGATGGTTGACAGGTTAGATAACATAATGAACTCTCACAGGGATTCTGGAATGGATTATTGGCAAGAGAGATGGAATGTGGATGGGTTTTCTTACTCGCAAAATCCTGGAAAATGCTACAAGGTAAATTCAACAACACTAGTGTAACATGAAAGCACAACTTCATTGATTTTGCTGTCTTAACCAAGAGTCACATAGTTCTAAGTCAACAGTATAAATATTAAAACCATTTCCATGGTTTAATCAGACTTGTAGGGTCATTAAAATCAAATATCCCTGACGGACATCACTTTTGGCCACTTCTGTGTGTGTATCTACTTATGTGTTGCTTATATTCAAAGTAAAAATAGGAGAAAACTAATCAGCAGCCTATTATTTTTTTATTTTTTTATTTTTATTTTTTGCTTGCAGTTACGAGGATGCTAAAGCCCAGCTCTCTCTGACAAAACTTCTAGCACCTGCTTACTTCATATTGGGTGGTAACCGAACAGGACAGGGTTGTGTGATAACCAGGACTAGAATAAACACGTTAGACATCTGGGAGTAAGTAAATTATATCCCATTTCTATCTGCAATGTTTTAAACTGCCCTCTGAATTTGTTGCTACTGTTGTGATGTTTAAGACTTGATATGGAGCTTAGGAGATGGTACGTCCTGGAAACGAACTATGATCACTGGGAAAAGCCTATGATCCTAGATGACCGTAGAACACCGGCAATGAAGTGCATGAATCAAACCACACAAGCGGTATGTGGCATTTTGTTTTAGAAATAAAATGGCTTTGTTGTAGCAATTTAGAGTAGTTGAATTAGTTTACAAGCACTTTTAAAATGAGCTTAATTTGTAGCTGAACTTTCATAAAGACATGTTTAATAATGGACAACAAAAAAGTAATAATGGACAACAATATATTTTTAATTTCCACAGAAAATTTCTCTGTCATCAATATATGATGTTCTGTCAACAAAACCAGTTCTTAATAAGGTAAGTCTGCCTTTAAAGTGAGTTAACAAAAGCCTCAAACTATATGTCATGATTTTTGTTTTAATTTATTTTATGTATGCTATGAGTAAGAGAGCGTGTTTGCTAACATTTCTGCATCAAATGGTCAAGTGTTGTATGAAGTCATAATGAAGCCATTTTCTGTCCTGTCTTCAGTTGACAACCTACACCTCATTAATGGAAGTGTCAACTGGAACTCTGGAGTCTTATATTAGAGACTGTCCAAATCCATGTACACCGTGGTGATCTGCCATCATCTCTGAATGAGCTGAGGCATCAGGCATATAGAATACTGTTCTTGATCAGTTATTACAGGGCCAATGTTCATGTACAGGAAGGAGTGTGTAAAAAATGTTATGGTCGCAATTCTACCTCTGAACTTTCAGTTTCATATCTGTTCACATGGATGTCTGTTATAACTAATAACTTTATACTATAACTATAATTTTCTGCTTTATCACTGCAACACATTGTGAAAATCATAAATGTTTCTCTTGCATAACAAACTTTGAGTAACCACACATTTTAAATAGAAATGTTTTTGTGTGCTCTTCGATCTGCAAGTGCACACAAGTCAATTTCAGTAAGTGCTGCCTTTTTCTGTTAGGAAATCGATTTTTTGTGAAATCCTTGGTGATGCTAAAAAGTATTTTTGTAATTTATAAATGTATAATTGTGTTAAATATGTAAATTCCTGAAATGACAATTTATTTTACTTTTTTCAAGATTAATATATAAAACTGGTAATTCTATAATAAAATGTTGCTTCAATAAAGGCTAGACATCTTTTCAGCCTCATTGCTGATCTATGTTCTGTTTAAATTGAGGAATTTGCCGAATTTTATGTGTAATACAGTTCAGCGATATGTTAATTATAAGTTCTTCTACCTCTGTAACTGGATAGTGGATTCATTCAAGTGAAATAATACTTTCAGCATTGTTCCTTTTACCCTTCATACTGGTCTATTTATTCGTATTATTGTGGTAGATACTTGTGACTACATGATTTAAATGTAATAACAAAGGTAAGGTGCTGATTTACTTTTACTTTTGTTGTGTATGCATGTCTACCATCAGCACAAAACACATTATTTTGGGTGAAACACTCCTCTCTCTATCAATGTGCTTCACACATGTTTTTCCCATTTTGACTTTATGGGTGAAGCAAATCAGGTATTTGTTCCTGTGGATCAGACATTCTTTAATCATTGTTCTATTTTGAGTATTCACATGTTTTATATACAATAAATATAGGCGATACATGAATACAAGTTATACAGCATTCTGACTTTTTCATTTAAAACAAACTCTTAACTGGTTTGTCATTAATTTGTCCATATTCTACTTGAACAAATTGAAGGTCAATCTTCCCATAATTTTCACTTTCATGGGACAGCTTTAGTGTTGTTTTTGACGTTAAATGTTTTGGGGAGCTGTTTGTAGTTATCTGCACATCTGCTTTGATCCAAAGTGACTCAGCTCAAAGTAGTGCACTTCCAACCAGGAAATCTGGTCAGGCACCAGAACAGAGCGCAGGAGCATTTGTACAAGCTGTTGAGTCTGTAGTTCTTTAGTGCACAAATTGAACTGAGCACAAGATCACTTGGTGTACGATCTTCCATCTTTAAATACGACATTAAATGAGAACATCTACGATGTCAGTTTTGTTCATCATATGGATGCTTTGTACTCTGGATTTGTCAGACTCTGTAAGTGTCTTACAATTTATTCTACTCTCTTGTGTGTTGAAATTATCTTTAGTTACAGGTCAATTGAAAAGTCTTTATTTTATGGTGAATCATTCTGTGTGTCGTGTGCATTTAGGCACCTGACGAATGTCAAGATGAGATAGAGCGCCTTCGAGCAGAGATGAAAAATTTGGAAGTTCGCCATTCAAAGCAACATCAACTTATTCAACGATTAATGAATCTCAACCAGATGAATGAACGTTCCCTAAAAGAGGGCTCAGTTTATGACATGGGAGACAAACAGTACATGGGTCAAGGCTCTATATTATTTTATTAAGATATGGTATTCACTGTCCTTGTGTAAATGTTGTATTTTGTTAGTAACCTACTGTAAAATCAGTACTAACAAAAACCAATCTGCCACATACAGATTGTGCTCAGATCTTCAAAAATGGCAGCATGCAGAGTGGATTTTACATGATTAAACCACTGCTTAGTCCAACCCAGATCAGAGTGTTCTGTGATATGACAGAGGGGGGTGGATGGACGGTCTTCCAGAGACGCTCAGATGGCAAGCAGTCATTTGACCGGTATGGAAAAGTTCATTGTTGTATCTATGAGACGATATGTGCTTTTAAATAAATATAACATGAGTTGCTTTTTTTTTAGAGATTGGAATGATTACAAAACAGGATTTGGTGACATGAAGTCTGCTAATGGAGAGTTCTGGTTAGGGAATGATAATCTCCATTATTTGACATCTCAAGGTGAGTAAATCTACATACCAATTTGTAGCGAGAACCCAAGTGCTGTTTATTCAATAATAACATATAACAAGATTGAAACTTAAAACAAAAGCATGGCAAAAACTGTGGACATGGACACATGACAAACAAGAGGGCTTAATGGTGCTTTATGGTACAGTAAATACCAAAAGCTGACGTGGAATATGCACATGAACACCCACTCATGTGGTATTTTCCACTGGGCAACTTGTAGAATGTTTTGATGAGATGAGATGACCTTTGACCTTTTCAAAATGGCGAAGAGCAACTAGAGAGTAGTGAATAAAAATATGTACTATTCATAACACAGTGGCATAACTTACTCCTGTATGGTGAGGTCACCCTGACGAAGGCACAAGGGGCGAACTGCTGGTCCAAACCTTTTCCTTTGTATGGTCTTGTGTTCTGTCATGCTCTGGCTTGACTTGATAAAATAACCTTGACACAGAAGAATGATGAAAACACATTTAACAAACTCCAGGCAAACAGAGATACATACCAGGACGAAATAACACAAAACAAAGTACAAACGAAGACTGAGGGTTTCAAGACACAAGATGACAAGGGGCTAAATTAAGGAAAGCTGTAGGAGATTAGATAATGGTAACAAACAACGCTAACTATGGAAACAAACAAGATTAAAATGGAAACATGAACTAAATCACAGGAACTAAAATAAAACAAATAAATACAACAGACAATTGCATACAAATATTTGTTTAATAATTTAACAGCCCGTCGTCAATTATTTCTTATATTATATTATATTATATTATTACATTATATTATATTTCTCTTTCAGTTTTTTCACTAAAACACCTTCTGTTATGCAGATGATTACACCCTGAGAATCAGTCTGGAAGACTTTGAGGGCAGCCACCGCTTTGCAGTGTACAGAAAGTTCAAATTGGATAATGAACAGGTTTTATTCTTTTTTTTTTATTATTATTATTAATCTCTTCATATTGTGATTTAGTGAGGTGTGTTATTGGCCATGATGAACCAACAGGTGGTTTGAAATTTCTAATAAATCAATGTTCTATTTTCATTAAAAAACGAAAAAACGGAGTTACACAATATTACAAGTTTTATACTTCATTTTGTGATCTGAATGGTATAATAGCTGTGTGCTGTTTAATTGGCCAACGCTCAAAATATCTCATTTGTCTTTTCAGAACCACTACCAGCTCCAGTTTGGTGAATACACAGGAAACGCAGGGGACGCTCTCTCTGGCAGTTATCATCCTGAGGTTCAGTGGTGGGCTAGCCACCAAGGAATGAAGTTTAGCACACGAGACAGGGATAATGATCGCTACGACCGCAATTGTGCTCAGGAGGACAAGGGTGGCTGGTGGTTTAACAGGTTTGGGTCTAATAACATTGACAGAGCTTTTCACATAACAATGACAAATTACAACACAGCCACCGGTCATTTCTGTGTATGTAGAGCAGTTCTTCTCAAGTTCATACTAGTAACCACAGTTTTTCAAATTTTTGTATGTTGTTTCAATTGTATTCCTCTAGATGTCACTCCACCAATCTGAATGGATTTTACTACAGAGGACCCTACAGCGCAGTCACTGATGATGGAATAGTGTGGTACCCATGGCATGGCTGGTGGTACTCCCTCAAATCTGTCCAGATGAAGATCAGACCAGCCAATTTTGAGCCTAATGATGTTTAACTCATGGATCTGATATCTAAACTACAAAGGCGATGAATTAGTTGATGATGGCAAATAACACGATTGTATTCCATATAAGTGGTCCAATTCTTAACTATTTACATATGTAGTTCAAAAAGCTCTTCTACTGCATGTAGCGCAATAAAAATCTCAACACATCCTTGCTGCATCCTTGTGTGTTCTATCAAAGTATCTTTGATGTGATTCATTTGAAGAAATAAATAAAATAAAAAACTGCCACAACAAAAAATTCTACAAATTCTAAGATGTTTTTTTATATTCACCCAATGAATCAATATAAATAATATTTTTTAGCAAGATATTTACTATTGACTTAATATTGAAACATGGTTTAGATATGCCTAATTTTCTTTCATGTAGCCTATTAGGCCTAGTTCTACTGAGTGACAGAACACTCACGTAGCGGCTCGAGGTCTTTCCTGTAGTGACGTCATTTAAGGTGAGCGCGAGCTCACCTGAGCTCTCATCTGTACTTTGCAAACGCTGCTGTTAACGGTCGACATATCTGAATTCGAGTTTAATCTCATTAGCGACGTGCGCGGTAAGTACACAATGCTACTCAATGAAGTTGAGCAGTAGCTTTCTACAAACAAGAAAAAGTTTTCTCTTGTACCAAAAGCTACATTTCATCCGTGGTTTTGCTGTTATTAGTGTCGCGTGAGTTGTGTTCCATCATCCATGGCTTTAGTTTATGTTTTCATTAGACTAATGAATGTTCATTCAGTCAGTATTGTTTGTTTACATTTATTCAAAGGGATCTTCTGCTTGTATAGTTTTACAACTTTGTTTACTCGACTAGTTATTTATAGACCTAGCTGCCAGAGACAGGGGCGGTTTCTTCATTGGGGCGATTGGGCGACGCACCACCAAAGTGTGAATCATCACACTCACAATCTCATTCAACCAGAGAGTTACGCTAGCCATCACTATATAGTCCAATCAGTGTCATGTCACGTTCTGTGGAGTACCGCCTCTTTTTGGGCGATTTCACTCTGGCTGAAAATCGCCCAGAGTGTTCCCATAGACTTACATTCAAAGATGTTTTTTTTCGAACTGCAGGCACTGCAACGCATTCTCTATGGGTTCCGGGAGGGCTCGCACTAACGTGCTTACATCATCATACGTATCCTTAACTTGTGCAGCGATTGGTGGGAACAAACATCCACTATTAAAAATCTTTAATATTAAGTGACAAATAATATTTTAAAACAATTTTGAATTCAAACAGCAACAATAAAAAATGAAACACTACTTAATTATCTTTATCAAATTGATTAAAAAAAAAAAAAGCGAGAGCGAGAGAGACTGTTGGGACATCTCGCGAGTTGTTGTGGCTACAGACAGTTGAACTTGAACAACGCCATGGCGAACACAGTCCTTTAGAAGCCTACACAGCAAATTTCAGGAGTTGAAAAATCATGAGTTAGGCAAAAAAGAGTTACTTTTGAGTTATTTTTTTTTAACTCTGACTACACTTTGTGTTATTGGATACTCCCCGGCTGTGTTGTATTTTGGAGTTCATTCATTGGTGTTCAGGAGTGTGTTTTGGTTTAACACTAGCTACACCTGGAGTTATTTTTGAGAAATGCGCCTCGACACGACCCTGCCGCTGGATAAAGG